GGGACCCGCGCACGGCGGGGCGGCGCGCGGACGGCAGCGGTGGCGCGCGGACGGGCGCGCCCTGCGGAAGCTGCCGGTGCACGTGGGGCTGGTGGTGACCGAGGAGGAGCCGAGCTACGCGGACATGGCCAGCCTGGTCGTGTGGTGCATGGCGGTGGGCATCTCCTACGTCAGYGTCTACGACCATAACGGTGAGCGGCGGCCGCGGTGCCTCCAGTCCCGACCTCGGGCGGTGCCCACCCTGGGAGCGCCTCCTGGCCTGGAGCCCGAGGGCCGCTCTGTCCTGGGGTCTTTCCAAGTCCGGTCCCAGCCTCTGGGAGCTGGCAGCTCATTTCCCGTTCACTGGAGCTGCTTGGCCACTGCAGAACTTCTGGTCCCKGGGAGCCTGGGGAATGGCCCAAGTGCCCTCCTGCCCCGACTCTTGTGTCGGGATGACCCGGTCCTGCCTGCTCACTGGCGGGGACAGATTGTGGGGGTATTTCTAGAGCCTTGACCCCAGTCRTGGGCTGACAGGAACTGCTGGCATCTGGAAGTGTAGGGCATGGACTGTTAGTAGGGAAGAGCTTCAGGCTACCTGCTCTTACTAGTGCTGTTTATGAGCTAGGTCTGAACCTCCAGAAGTGGATGAATGAAAGTAGCCATCTATTTTCAAGTACTCTTGTGTGAAGAAACAGGATGGACAGGTAGTTAAATGTAAGCATGTATTTCCTGTGTGGTGTCTGTATTGTAAGATTAAATTATGTGATCTGCATTTGATGCTKCTTGGCATTTGAGTTAACTCTGAGACAGTGCTTCTGGAAACTGCTGTTTTTTCGTATCTGCTGTGTGAATTTATTTGTTACTGGATCTCAGGTGTAAGAACATTGAACTCTGGCTCTTGCAGATGTGTTGATTCCACATCACTAACTATAATAAAGATAAGCTCAGAGTTTGGATTTCACATACTGTGAGGAAATCGTGGAACAAATCTCTTCCTCATACCTGTGCTTTCYTAGTGGGGAGCTAAGCCAGCCACATTCAGGATATTCTTAGGTGAAGCTTTCTGTCCAGCTATGAGAGATTATCTCTAACTTGTACTGGACAAGCTGTCAACTTAGAAGGGATAACAATGCATGAGGTGGACTGTGTCCTGTGCAGAGGAAGAAACTTCATGTTGAATATCTCTGTGCTCCTGCTGTCAGGGGTGAGACTGTAGGAGACCAGGGTTTAAATTGTTTTGAGCCACTTCCAATGGCTGTTTAGAGGTGTCATACCTAAATCTAGGTGAGCTCTAGATTTATGTCAGGTTAGAGGTACAGTTGTCTTCTAGTGCATTTTTGGGAATTGCTCAGCTGTGCATTCCACATAAGTAGGTGAAATCTTTTGTTACCAAGTGTGAAAAAGTRTGTGAGTTCTGCAAGCCTTTCCTTAAGCATAGGCRTTTGTGACTTTTTCAATTTTTTTTYTCTTTCTTTTAAACCATTACCATTTATAGTTCTTTTTCATGGTTGAGCCTTCSCATGTGATGCAGGATTCAAAAGACCTAACTTTCACTAAATTATCTAGGATTGTTTTAAGAAACTGGGCTTAATACCAGTCACTTAGCAGTTTAGACTGGCCATCTGTGCAGGGCTGATGTGGAACTTGGTTATGTTGTGTTTCAGAAGGAGAACACTTCCTCATTTGGAAGTCAAAGAATGATATAAAATATTTGCATAACATCTCAAGGGCACAAAGAACTGTGCCTTCTGAAAAGTCATTTATATGTTGATGGTTTTTATTCCCAACTTGGAAAGCATTCAACCAGATGAAATGCTCCAGAGCAAACAGTAGCAAGGAGCGGAGAATTTTCCCTCCTAGATCAAAGAGAGACATTTTATTGTACAGGATTTTAACTTGTGTCAAACCTCAGATAAGCTATGGGCAGTATTGCCTAATATGTTACGTATATGCTTAGTTCCTTTTCRGATTCCAGCACTGTGCTCCACAAATTATATGTATGAGAATTGAACATGATCAAGCTGAGAATCATGTTTCTTGGTCGTCTTGGTTTTCATCTTGTTCTTCCTTGATGTGAAGCCCTGAGGAGGGAGAAAGCACCAACCAGTCTTAGGTAGCCACTGTTGCTCCTGTCTCACAGGAGARAGCCAGAGCTGTAGCAGTGTCTGAAGCATTATTTTTTGAGAAGCTACTGCTGCTTCTCCAGCGTATGTTGAAATTCAGGTCTAAGACTGACTGTTACAAGACTGTAAATATGATGTCCATAAATGATAAAGTTTTGTCCCCCTGAAGAGCTGAAATAACCCTGCAGAACAATCTGTGGCTTTTACCAAACTTTCAGGGTTGATAAAAATAACCATTACACATCATGTTCTTCACAGGTTCAGTGGGTTGTCCAAGATAGAGCCACAACTGGTTTTGGCACAGCTGAGCTTTTTAGGCTGACTTCAGTTTCGGAGAGCAAGTAGTCATTCATACAGCTCTAGTGTATTCTTACTGCTGGCAATAGCACATGTGCTGCCTTTCTTTTGGTGCTAAGCTTCTTAGGGTGTCTTGATTGAGCGTACAACATTTCCAGATAGAGTTGTCATTAAGTAGGATGTTGCAGCTGTTGTTAAATCCTGTGCTGAGTGGTAGTGGAGCCTGGAACCTTCAGTAGTAATACTGATACAGTGAACGTGAATAAAGTCAGGTATGGCTTGCTCTTATCAGTAGCAGAGGGTGAACCTTAATTATGGTGTGCACTCGTGTCCATCTTGTCAGATGGTGGTGAATGGTACTTTTGGACTGTGGAGCTGTTTCTGTAAGCTCCTGTGTTCATACAATTGTACCAACTGTTGACTTGTCAAAGTCCCCACTGGTACTGGCTGTGGTGGAGAAAAAAAGCCAGTTGTGAGTGCTCTGAATCAGTGTTAGCTGTGGTGAGGTATACGATAATTTGTTTCTTTTCGTTCATTGCATATTTGTAGGGCTGAGATTCTTCTGATTGCAACAGGAAGCCTCSTTTACAACCATGGTCTTCATGGTTGCATTTTCCGGAAGAAATAGTGTGTCAGTTTCCTGCAGAAAGATTAAATTAAAAATATGTCCTTAATTGCCCCTTCTATAAGAGGAAAGGGAAGTACGAAGRTCTTTGCAGAAGTGCTAGATAAGCTGTTTATTTGTTTATAGTAGTGATTATTTTTTTTACAAAATTACTTAATAGAAGGTTGTTTGTGTATTCTTCAGTGTCAAAATAAGTAGCTACATTCCAGCTGATATTGTTTTGTTTCAGCGGCTGCACCAGTAACTGTAAAGGCAACTTGGCTGGAGCTGTTGGCTCAGGGCTCAAAACTGAGACTTTCTCAGTTGCCTCAGCTCATTTGGAGGCCCAGGGTGGCCTGGCTTTACTGCCCCTGGTGTGTGGAAGCACTTTCTCCTAATTTTCAGTGATGTGCAGCCCAACAAAGCCCCAATAAACTTAGTGCTACTGTGTGCTACTGGGTTAAATAATGCAAACTAAAATTTCAAGTTGTCGATCAAGAATTTATTTCTGTTGACTTTTGTATTGCCAGTCCTATTACTTGGTAGAAATCCATCCAAGCTGCTCAAGACCTTATCTCTGAGAAAATACTGCTTGTCGCAGCCAGAAGGCAGTGATAATGCAATAATACAATAACAGTTAAAATTTATCTTCTGGGGAGCAGGAGCCTTTGACTAATGCTGTATACTTTAGCTGTATACTTTAACTCTCTTCTGTTAGATGTTTTGCTGTTTGGGAGAGCTAGCTTCAGTGTTTCTACTGTCCATCAGTGAAGCTTTCCTGAAATAGTTTGGGACAAGTCAAAAGTGCTTATTGAGAGATTTCTCCATCATGGCGTTTGGGTACTTTCTACTCCTAGATAGGTGCTTCAGGTTGAAGGTTTCTTTAAGCCCATAGTATGACTGTATTGAAAACTTGGGTTTATTCATCCTGGGTTTAGCTTTCCAGTGAACCTGTTTGCTTCTGACCAGTTTTCTCTTAAAAATTCTTTGAAAGGATAGAGTATTCCAGTGTGCAAAAGAAATTATTTCATTAGCCCCAAAGTAAGCTTCTTGTCTCTTTTAGATTGATCAAATCAGCTAAACTACCATGTAATCTATAAAATTTTCTGGGTGTGCAGCATGTTCATTTCAGTGGGCAAAATAAATACGTTGTGGTTTTATGTCACTGAAACACTTGTGAGATACCAGTATCACAGCACATCTGCTGTGGGCCTTCACCCACGTGAAATTTCATGTTCAACAATTCTGTTTTAGTGTTGAGGTGAGAGGAGTTCTCAAACCACGTTCATTAAAAGCGATAACACTAATCTGTAGCAGGTAATCTCCTTAAAGGAATGGGAATATGAAAGAGGTGTCTCTTCTCTCAGTTACTGATGAGCTTCTGTTCTCCTGGTGCAGAATGTCCCCTCCAATSAGAAATGTGGGAGGAATGGTCATCTATGAAGTTCTCAGTTCTGACTCAAATTCTTTGGTTAGTGCTATCTTAAATGGCCTTAATCTGAAATGTAAGTGACTTCAACTACATTCAAACTTGGATTAGTTTTTTTTCCTAGACTCTTGGAATAAAGAAGATATTTTTTCTAGCTTTTCATATCCTATGAGGTCCAGTGTAATGGCCCYGTGTTCCTCTGTTATCAACCAGCATGATCCAGCAGGATGTATGCAAAAGTTTTTARTGTATTAAGACAATTTCTTACATGTGCATTCTTTGAAGTGGCTTATGATGTGATGTTTCTCACAATGTTAGTACTTTGATGCTTTAAACAGATTATTATCTAATAACAGTTATAATGCTTGATAACTATTTTCTTGTCAGCCCTGGAGAGAAGTTGAGAAAGCAAATAATTGAAATGTTCTGGAGATAATGTTCTTTACGAGGCTCCACTTAGTTTAAGGTGTTCCCTTGCAAGGAAGAGCTGACTCTTATTCTGCATTTCACCAGATTCTGCTGCTTTAAAAAGCAAGGCAATTGAAAATGTTGAACTTTGAGATGCTATTAAGGCCCCAACAGGTGGTGACTGTGGTAGTGTCATCAAACAAACAAGTGGTTGACATCCCCTGGTGTTTCTCTGTGCCAGTTYTTCACTTCCAGTTCACAATTCTTGTCCGTTTTGCACCTGCTGAGCTTGCAGCCTCTTAATTACAAACTTCATTTGTCAGTATCTAATGCTGAAGTGTTGCAACACCATGGTTGAAGCAAARGGGCATGGCTTGTAGCTACTGTGAATCTGAGTAAAAGGTATGTGCCCTGGAAAAGACCTGAAGACTACTGCAGGAGGCTGAAACGCTTCTGGTTTGACTCAGCTCTAACAGGAACAAATGACCAACAGCATTCTTGTAGTTTGTTTTGTAAAAACAAGTATTACCCCTGAAAACAGCTCACGAGTTCACAGTAGTTAAGAAAGAAGAAACAAACCAAGACCAGGAGTTTTATACTCTTTTGCCTTGGGATTYTAATGCTTAAATACGTGTAATTCATAGAACACTTCATTTGCAGGAATATTCACATTTGCACCAGCTTGCAAAGGTGCCAGAGGTCTGACAGACCAAATATTTCTGCTTTTCAAAACCAGAATTTCTTTTGATGAGAAATAATAGTGACAATTTCATGTTTGCGTTCCATATTAGAAACAGGAGTAGTGCCAAATTTTTATTTCATTTAACAGCAAACAGCTTTTGTGTTGCTAAAAATTTATTAGAYCTTTGTCAAACATTATTTTTTTTTATAATGGTAAAATTGTATTATGGCCTCACTTTCAACTCGTGTGGAGGACCGTTAACAAAATTGGAGGGTAGCAAAAAATCAGAGTTAAGTTTTGAGTAAATAAGATGCAAGTTTTGCTGCCAAGGAACATTATAACTCTGTTACTGAGTTGGCCAACTCATGCACTTGTTTGCTATATTTGTCATGTTTAAATTAAGCAACAGCATCTCCAAGAATTAATTTGGGTAAATTTCCAAAGTTTAAGAAGAATGAGCTTTGTAGACAAATGGAGTTTTGAGATGCTGTAAGGGAAAGGAGCATAAAGCTGAGTCACGACCATGTAAAGTTCTTGAATAGGATTTTGGCCTATGAACACTGGATTTGGCAGGACTGTGTTTGCAGTGATGTGCATTCATAAGTCTCTTGTGCACTGACTGAGAGACAAAATGTTGAAGGAGTATTCCCAAATGCTGTTGGTTTTTAATTAAGATCCAAGTTAGTTCAAAGTTTTGCTGCCTTCTGCTGTGCTTTAGGATCGTCTCTTCAGGAAAACTGCGTATGTGTCAAGTTTGATGGATCAGTGGGAATTTAGATGTGGAGGCTTTTCCAAGGAAGTCATACTGCAGCTAAATGGTACAACTACAGTAACTTCTTATTTATGTTAAGCTGCTGTTCCAAGAGCCATGCAGTCCTCAAGTTTGAGCAGCTGAGGGGGTGGGTGAGATAAATGAGCAGAATAGAAGGGTGATACTCAGATAAATCTTAAAAACACATTCATTTAGCAAGTCTTCTGTATCTGTTGTGTGTGTTAGGGACCTTCACTTTGGAGCTTGACCAAGTCCATTATCTGATGTCTGTTTTTGCTGACAAGCTAACTCTTTGGTCTGTTCTTCTACCTGTTGTCCTTAATGTCTTAATTTATTTTAGGGCTGGAATGTGGAGTCTTAAATGAGTTCTTGCAGTCTTCGACAGGAAAACCTTTTATGAGCAAGGATTTAATATCATTGGTGTTGGCTGTGGGAGGGAAAGAAGAGCAGCAGCTTATTTCCCAGATTGGGGGCCTTTCCTAATTATGTGACATGTTTGTCTGGATATTGAGCAAAGTTTTATTGTAATATGTAGAAGTGTATGGAAGTCAAGTGACTCTTAAGAGATGAGGCACATGCAGCCTTGTACAGATCTTCCTTCCAGAGGGTGCAGGATTAGCAATTGCAGTGGCTACGCTGCTGCTGACCTTGGGTGTAAGGAAGACAATCTGTGCTAACCCCAGCATGAAACAGACTGAGCCAAGAAGAGTTGTATCAAACAGTATTATTCAAAGCAGCATTCTTGATTTCTGTTATGTATAAGTATGCACTAGGAAGTGGGAACATGAAGAGCAACAATTTAACTTTAAATTAAACTTAGCAAAAGTATTCTGATGCACTTTTTTCTGTAGAGGTTTTTTCCTTACCACAAATTGCTTTTCTGTATACTCATGAAATCAATTATAAGCATCACTGACACTTCTATAATGWAGTAATTTTTCTTTTACAGGAAGTATCCAGGATGATAGGAAAAACAGATACGTTGCCACCTATTAAAACTTCTGATGAAGCCTGTAGAAAAATACTAATTCATTAGGCATAAAGGCTATAATCTTAAATAAATGGATTGGATCACTTCATATTGCAAGCTAACATGTAGTRTGTTATGGTCTTAATCCAGTGCTTATACACTGACTGCTGTGGGAACTGTTGTAGCTGGAGTTCCAGATCCCACAGTCAAGTTGAGGTGCTGAATCTAAGCCTGATCATAAAATTGTATGTCTTACATTGCCTTGGAAGTTTAGTGTGTGGGCATTTTTAGACTGGTCAACARAAGTGGTTGACACAAGATTTTTGAGTGAAGCTCAGTAACAGCCTTTGAATACCGTGTGATAAAAGCGTTATCCAATTCCTAAGTGAATATGCCTAGCCATACTTTTGGATTGTAAATATTTAAGCTCTAACATTTMGTTTTTACTGTGGCTTATAATTAGAAATAATTGGGTTATGTTTCTTAAAAGCTAGAATTTATTTTAGTACAGGAACCCAAGTATGTTTGAAGCAAGCTTTTGTAATTTCCTGCATTCAAAATGTGTCTGCCTTGAATATGTAAGTATAAAAAGGTCTTGGGGCTGCATGAGCTCCTTGGAATATGCAGCTTGTGAAATTCTTGTATTGGGAAATCTATGMCATTGGATGGCTTCAGAGTGAACTGTTACTGAGACCTGAAATGCTGATTTAGTGCTTTGCTAGCRTGTAGCCTGAGGGATGTGGCAATAAGTGGTAGCAGACCTAAGTAGTGTGAGCATTAAAGAAATTTGGAGTTAATCTGACTTGGTCGTTCRTTCTGTGCTTGTTATTGCTTTCTGTATTTCTAGCATAATAAGGACAATGAAATAAGTCTTAAAGTTATCCCTTAAGCACTTGCAGCTTGCAATTTAAATCAGGATGGGTGAAAGAATAACAAAAGCACATGAGTTGTCTTTCCAAGGTCACTCAAATTAGTCATGTGCAGTAGCACTTGCTTTGTATTCTTACCTGCACTTGTGAACTCCAGTCTGAAACCAGTACTGACTTAWTTTTTCTACCTGCCTAGTGTCAGGTTTATTTTGTAGCACTCTGCAGTAGTTGGCTGACGTGCAACTTTCTTTTTAAAGGTATTTTCAAGAGGAATAATTCAAGATTGATGGATGAAATTTTAAAGCAGCAGCAAGAGCTCTTGGGACTAGATTGCTCCAAGTACACAGTGGAATTTGCAAATCAAGACAAAACTGGTCAAGGTAAGATGAACTACACGAGGGACTTGGTGTAGCTTTGAATAGCTGCATATCAGTCATAACTCTGCTTTTACTTAAACACAATCCTGTGCACAGTCGCCTTTTTCTTTGCAAAGAACTTATTATCAGAACACATGTAACCTTCCTGGGCTGGTATTAAACTTCATTTAATTAACATTCCAAACTTTAGTTTGTTCTCAACTAAAGCAAAGCATTGCTCTCTCCTTGCCATAGTAATCATTACTGGGTGATCTGATCTTTTCTTCTGCCTGGCTGTTGTGCCATGACTCCTTCAATGCATCAGTGTACCTCAACTCCCCACTGTTTCAGTGACCTGAATTCTTCCCCTTTACAAAAGTGTAAGGAATCTGATATCAAGTTAACAATTTGTGCGGTTCCATCTTTCCAAACATACACCTCAAAGTGGGAAGGAAGAAGGGAAAGAGCAAAACTGCTGGTTGTCATGGCAAGGTATAATGCCAGCAAGAAAGTAAAGGGCCCAAGTTAAAAAATAAATTTGGTGATAGCAGCTTTTGCATGTAGCTAGATGTGGAAAGCAGRAGTATGTTTCAAGGCTGATGCTCCTTATACAGTAATATAATTTCTCATTTACTCATTTGCTGCCTAGGACAAATGCTAGAAGTCTGTTCAAAATATAATAAATCACAGTCATGTACTTAAATCAGGCCTTTGTCTTAAAAAGATGGGCTGATACTTAGAGCTCTCCCTAACTACAACTCATAATATTTAAATAGGTCTCATAATAAAATACATAAATAACMCTTATGTTTTAAGATTATCATAGTTCAACGACTTTAGTGCACAAGCTGTAGTACAMTTAGCTGCATTTAAAATGCTGCTTGCAAGTTTTGCTTCCTCTATAAGAGCTGACAGGATACCAAAATCCTTTGTGCCAGTTTTCTGGTGTTAAGTTTAATGTTGTAGCATGAACTTGCCTTATGAACAAGCTAGCCTAAGATGCTAGCATTTATGTGGAAGRACCTGAGCTTCATCCTATTTTGTTTTCTTCCTGTGAAGGTTGAACTAATCAGCAGAAAATGGGGTGCACTGGCTATTAATATCTTAAACTCCAGCATACTTAGCTGCACCTACCTAACTTGGGATATTTATGTTCACACCAAACAAACTACTGAAAGACTTCTCAGACTTGCTGATGGAAAGAGTGCGTTTATATCTCTGGAACCTTTTGTGCTGCAAACTGTGAAAAGCAGAGGTGTTTTCTGTTCTCTTTTTAAATTTTTCATTCTTTTTTTAGAAAGCTTCACAGTCAGATCAGATGCTTCATGTTTTCAACTGAACAAACTGACATCTATCCAGTTTATAATAAACTGCATTTTTTCAGTTCTGAAAAAAAATGACATTTAGGGATACTATTAAATATTTTTAACCTAGGCCAATTGATGCAAATTTGTAAATCAAGCAATATCAAGGAACAATTATTTTTGTGGTGGCTTTGCATAGATGATCTGAGRGGTATTAGGTGTTAAGAATCTTGGCAGTGCTTTGTGGTCCTTTGCAGTCAGTTTCTGCAGTTTTAAGAAATGTTATTTTTAAGTATYTGTTTATAACTGTCGTAAGTTTGGTATAAATCTTTAGTATAAGTGTCAGCACTTTGGTATTTAACCTACTTAYTTCAAACCAGCTATAGTCCACCATCTGTAGCCTTCAGCTTCCTTGGCAAGTTGACCTTTTAAGGTATCTTACCAGAACTGACAATGATGCAAGTCATATTGTGTGAGAAGATTGTTGCCTCTCAATAGTGTTGACATTAAGATAATGGTTGTTGTGAAATGTCCTCTTAAGTCACATAAATAATTACAGTTGAATAGGTGAATCGTGAGCTATTATCTTGTTCCTAGCTTCAATGTAGCAATCTTACATCCTWATTGTAACTCTTGCATCAATTTTGAAGTGCTGCTGAAAGGTGCTGTGATCACATTGAGGGAGGCCCCACGGTTTAATCATTGTGTCTCACGATAGTACACATTAGCTGTTAAAAACACCTTCCTCCTCTAGGGTAGAAATTGGTTTGTTGGTTTGGTTTTTTTTTCCTTTCTCTGAACTTTATGCATTACTTACTACCCTGTAAGTTTCTATCCAAGCATCTTTCCTCTCAGTGCTTTGACAGTGTAAGAACCAGTCGAAATTTGCTGGAAGACTACATTTCAAGACTGCATTAAACCCCTCTTCCCAAGACTTCTAAAAGTAGTTGTCTTGAGCTTTTGTTTTAGTAATACAGCAAATCCAGACAACTCTTACCCTTCCCTAAGCGATAGATGAATTTTATCTGTGACTAGTTGTAATATATGAAGTAAACTACAGTTGAAAGTACCTGTAACTGTGACTATCTAAATCACATGCAAACCAATTATATTTCTCTTGCTTTTAAACTGTGTTTTGTACTTTCAGTTTTAAATTGCCAATCTACATTGAAGGTGCTGTCTCCAGAAGATGGAAAAGCAGACATAGTCAAAGCTGCTCAGAACTTCTGTCAGTTGGTAGCACAGCAGCAAAGGACACATTCAGACCTGGATGTGAATATGTTAGACAACTTATTAAGTAGTAAGTATAATATGCTCTGTGGAAAAGAGGGGAGAGAGTGCTMATTTCATAACAGTTTGGTTCTATTATATTTATTGCTTGGAATGTATGCATTTTGATGCTTAGTCTATTACAGTAAGTTATGAGTATTGCTTTTAGGCTTCTGTTAAAAATTTCTTACTTGTTTATTGTCTTTTAAGCTTCTTTAAGCAGAAAAAATCTTTAGCAGAAATTTTAAGGTAAATTGCAGAGTTTTGGCTTTTCAGAGTTTACAGCCYCTGTGGTATGTTCTGCAATTAGCTTTTTGAAAAAAAGTACTGTTGGGATCACCTAAAATTAGACTATTCTTAGGTKAACTTCCTGCAAGATGCAAACGTGTGTGAGCAGTGTCTTTTCCAGATCTGGTTGCAGCAATTAAAGCTGTTCCTGCTGCCTGACTACTACCCTGAGTGCACATGATAGAGCACTTGCTGTTCTCTTGCTGCTGTATAGCCCACACTAACTTACTTATCTTCATAACTAATTCATGCAGATTACTGACTCTGCACTGAGGTGTGGGGCTACATGCAATAGCTATAAAAAGGGCAGGGCTGCCCTAATATCACACTTGGGAGAAGTAGTTTAGAATTAGCATCCACTTTTGCAGTGGTACTATGGAGCTAKGAGTTGCTCAGCTTGCCTAGGTGATGCATGCATGTTAATTGCAGCTGTAATTAGCTTGGCAGGGTTCAGGTTTCAGATRGCACACTTGAACTTGGATGCCTGCAGGCACATTAATGTAGTGGGGTCTCATTAATTGGACTTTAGAGAGTGATTTCTTCTTTTTCATATAGGTGGTCAGCTGAATTGCTTTGTGGATGGACTTCCCTGGCAGTTTGGCCACTTAACCTCAAACTGAATTGCATCCCTGTTGTCAGCATCCTCCTGTAACAGAATTATTAACTGTATTTAATAAGGCACCTGAAGAAGAACTTAGCACATCCATTCTGTTATACCCCARAGGCAATTAAAGGAAATTAACAATTGCTTCTTCAGAATAGTCACTAATTTAATGGAGAACCAGGGACAATTGTTACCTCTGTGTGTATTTTGGCCACTGATGTTTAACTGGAGCTTTTCAAACTTGTTGGGGATCTTCTGTCTAAGCGTCTGGCTATATTAAAAATATTTGGTCAAGTCTTAAAATTAGCAGATCTATTTTTGAAGTATTGCATGCTAGCTGAGCACAGAAAGAGAAGTCTCCTAGTCTGTCAAAACCATGAACTTTGAAACAGGCTGCTTAATGTATATGGCTAATWACTAAGGATAATGTCTGTAACTAGTCCTACTTATTAATTTGTTTATTTAATGTTTAGGACATTGTTGGAGGTGAAGTATTCATTCATTACTTACTTAGCAGCAGCTTATGAAACTATGTTTTACTTGTAGGAAAATTTAGTTCGTGTGCATTTTTAATGGAAAAGGGTTGAATGTAAGCATCTGTGAGTTACTGATTTGAGAGTGTGTTCTGAAAAGCAATACTTGAGTAGCTATATTTTTAGAGTTTGCATTCATGGTCACTTATGTAAATCTCTGTGRTTACACATTTTTATTTAAGTACCTGTTAATGTAGTTTTTAAACTTTTTGTTCATGTTTAGGGTGCAGTTATTGAAGCCTAGTCCTAAAATGGTATGGTTCTAGCTTGTCATGTGGTTTCTTGTTCTTAATTTAGTCATGCACTTAATTCTTACAGCTTGAGTTTTCTGCAGTGTAAGAGTACTTTCTTCTGAGCAATGCCTCTGCTAACCCGCTTGTTTTCAGAAAAGTAGGTGCCAGCTGCATTGTAATATTGTCTCTACTTGCTGTCTGTCTGCCTTCCAGCCAAGAACATGACTATCAATTAAGGCTGCTCAAGTTGCCATGTAAAATCCCTTCTGTGGAGAACAGAAGGGTATTGCTATCAGGTCTAAAATTCCTTCGTGTTCCCCTCGCAGAACTTCTGACATAGAAGGGTTGTTGCCAGATTCCCATCCTTTGAGTGTGCAAGACTTTTGGCCTCTTTGTTTTTTTTTAAAGTCTGCTCCCAAATCCTTCTATCTTGTGTGTGCTAAACTTGACTGCTGTAACCCTAGCAGGTCTAAGGGAGCTTCCACATGTAAATTACCTGTAGTGCTGATATGTTGAGAGAAATGGATGCAGAGTGGAAAGAACAGTTCTGTGTTTTTTAGTAAGCTGTTCTGACAGTAATACTACAGTGTGCATTTTCATTTYCCTTCAGATAGGAACCAGAAGGAAGTGTTAGCATTAACTGGGCTCTCTGAAGGTCTTTTCCTGTTTGAAAAGCCATTGCAGTGTTGAAGATCCTGCCGCTGTACCAGCTGACAAGTACTCAGCTACTGAATCAGCTGATGAGTAAAGCTGTCCACTTCCTCCAGAGTCCCCACTTCTAAGTATYCACTGCTTCCCTGCAAAGCTCTTTTGTACTAACATGCTAGCTTCTGAACACATAAGTGGCTTTTGCTTCGCATTTTTTCCTTAACTTTAAGATAAGATTTGGACTGTGGCACAAGATGCTCATATCTAAAAACTTCATCCTTCCTTAGAAATGCACAGGTTTGGGAAAACAGCTTCTTTTCCTCTGGTAAAAGGATGTGTTGTGATGATTCAGTGGGGAGGGAGATCTGAACTTTTTGAAAAATCTTCAGCTTCAGTTTCAAAACCTGTGTGGGGCAAAATCTAGCTTTAGTTTACTTTGTGAATTACAGAAAAGTGAAGTTCCTCTACARTTAAACTGAAAATTATAAAAGGCTCTTGACTGCTTTTGTTTAGTGGGTTGTTCTTTTTTTAAGCAAATGAGGAAGGAATTGAGAAATAACATCTGAAGTTTGGAGCAAGTAAGYTGTATTAAACTTTATCTGCTAAAGGTAGTCATTACCCACTATAAACACTCTTGCACTTAACTTGTGGATAATGGATTGGTGGATAATGGAAGGGGTGGCAGGAAACACCCTGTGATAATCATGACTAATTGCAGCATTATAGCAAAATAGGGTGATGACTGCTGAAATGTTTTTCAGATGAGCCGGGTAGGTGCAAGAGGAACAGCTTAGCTTCTTGGATCTCCTTGGGGTTCTCTGCTGTTTTCACATGTTGCTCTAATCAACTTGCTAGAATTAGCAGGGAAAGCTGGACTCAGACTGCTCATTCTAAGCCTATTTCCTGTCTTGTCAATTTTAGCCTGGAGTAGCTTAGGCATTGCAGAAGTATGTGAACAGAGGCAGTGGTGTTTGGTCAGTCATTGTTCATCTTCTGAGGCTGAAGACAAGAATGCTCTCACTAGAGRAATGACAGGCTGGTGTTTTAAGATYTAGACAGTAAGAGTGTGGRCTCCTAGTGAAATTCATCAGTATTATCYAGCTCTGTCCTAGAATGGGTCAGAATTGTCCACATAGTAACAGAGAAAAAGAAATACTGCCCTATTCTTCCTCACTCATCTAACCARAAAGATCTCAGCTGCAAGAGTTTGCTTGAAATTTCATAGTAGTTTGGTTTTAAAAWTTCTGTCTAGTTCCATACTGAGAAAGAGATGAGTCATTTAACAGGGTATTTTTTTTTCTTGGTGGTCTGTAATACCAASGTGTTCTTCATTGAAACCTCCTTAAGCTTTCTTTGTGTTAATAGTGCTTTTATTACACTTGACTGCAGCTCCACATAGTTGAGTAAAGGCTAGAGTAGGTAGAGTCAGGGTACAGCATGTTCTACGAAAATGGAGTTTGCCAAGACAAAACTCGAACAAGTCAGATTAAACAGCATTGTTAAGGTTTGCCGTTATTCAAAACAGTGCAACCATTCCTGACACTTCCATACAAAGTCTTTGAAAACTACCTGACATAAAAATAACAGTCCAGCTGGGCTTGCAGTGGCTGCCTAAGCTTTTGCTCAGTTGGTCATTGAGATGTTGCAAGACCTGTCTGTCCTCTTGGAGTTTTAATTGTTAACTTGTCTTTGGGACCTTCATTTAAAGAAAAAAAAAAAAAAGCATTTGGTGAAAAATCAAATGCCTTAGGATTTAGAACTAAAACAAGTTCTCTGATGAATTTAGTAAAACCAAATGTAACTTCTTATTACAGGTACAAATGGATTTCCTGATCCTGATTTAGTCTTGAAGTTTGGTCCTGTGGACAGCACATTAGGATTCCTTCCATGGCACATCAGACTGACAGAAATCATGTGAGTTGCATGTAAATGTGAAACACACTGGAATAATATGGAGCTAAACAGGTCTTTGTGACTTAGCTTATGGAAATGGCCAAAAGAGGAGATCCAGCTAAACAAGCATCTGGACATTGATTTGAGGGTATTTAAAAATGGTTAAATAAAACCCATCATATATTCATTTTTGGTTTTTTAGCCTTGACTAGTCAATAGCAGGCTTCATGCCTCAAGTTTAAGGAACAACTTCTGTCACCACCTAGTCTGTGGTCTGGTCCCATTTGTCARTGTTCCTTACATCAGTATGGATTATCTGTGGCTTACAAGTTTCTGACAGGGAAACTAAGGATACAAGGAAAATGGGAKAATATAAGAAGATCACACCTGTGGATTACTTCCCAATTTTAGCAATAACTGAACTGACTAGATTTGCTGAACTTCTTAAATCCAAGAGCATTTATAGTGCACTGAAATGTGTGGGCCCACCTGTGCTGCTGCAGCTTTCTCACTGATTTGAAGGGCCCTGTGTGCTCTCATGGGAGGGTTTGGTTTAGAGGGTGACTGGTTTAGTTACTAGAGTTGAGTGACAATAACCGTGTTGAGAGCAACTTCACAGGGTTATTCAGACAATAGCTTGTTCTTCATGATATTCCTGAGTGGCATGAATGGTGTGATGTTTATAAAAGCTTATTTTAATGTTTCTAACTTRTTTTCTCAGTTCTTTGCCTTCCCACCTAAACATCAGCTATGAAGACTTTTTCTCTGCCCTCCATCACTATGCAGCCTGTGAACAACGCTGGGGAAAGTGACTTCGGGCTGAGTGCRTGGAGTCAAGCTTTCTGTGGGAAGGAATTGATGTCTGTTTACAAGCACTTGTGACCCATAAGTCTGGTTCATAGTCCTTTCTTAATTTATCAAAAAGTTCAATAAAGTGTCTTACCTTTCTAGAGAGTCTGTGTGAATGCGTGAGAATCTATGGGGAGGGGAACTCACAGATTTCCTGTTTGAAAAGGAAAGTTACTAAAAACAAAGCAGAATTGCCCTCACTTTGGCATTGAAGTGACCAAAAGAACATGGAAGAATTAGTTCTTGTGAACTCTACAGGACAATGTAAATAGGAGTTCTGTGCCCTGAAGGTCCTTAAAACCAAGAAAGAACTCTCGTCATTGTTTCTTAATTCTTCATGGTCAGGCATTTCAGAGCTAAAGGTTTATCTTCAGTATATGTGAATTCTAGTGAAGCTGGTTTTGTTAACTGAAAATAGAGACTGCAGCTTGGCTGGGATGACTAAGCCAGCTGTAGGTGTCAAGTTCTAGAAATACAGAGAAGATTCCATAAAAAGGCATGGAAGCTTCTATGATAAGTGGATTAGGCAGTCCATGTTGCACTATCCAGCTTTTTTTTTTTTTTTAAGTGGTGGAATGAAAGGATTCCTACAGTCCTGAGTGAATGCAACATTTCTCAGCATCAGGTCAGTTTTCCACTGGGAATAACTATAAACAGTACTATGTATTGTTTGTATACCTATTTTCCACATAACATGCTYACTCAAGGTAACAAGCAGGATAAGGCTCTGATACCATTTGCTGAAAGATTTGAAAACGGGCTGGCTTGACTTCTATGGCTAAATGTGAGCTGCTGCTTGTACTTCTGTGCCCAGCAAGGGAGCCTTCTTTAGCCTTTTATTGTTTTTATTTGTTCTGAACTGAGCATTAGAAGTTTGAATGGGATTCTGAAGCGGACAAGAAGGAAGATGAAGTGAAGCTGCACTACAGTATTTTAACACTCAGATAACTAAGGAGATATATTGGCTAAATGGTCTTCATTGTGGAATGCCCTGTTTGAATTACATTCCTATTGTTGGAAGCGGTTTGAAGTTGCAAGTTTATGGCTGCATTTGGACAAAGCAATATRTTAGATCTGTATTACTGAAGACAGACATTAATACTGCAGCTGTCTGCCTTGCAGGCTGCAGAACTGTTGAATGCTTCATTCTGGAAGTGTTTCCCGTTTCCCCCTCCCCTCCACTCTTCAAAATGAGCCTGGCTTTATCTACTTTGCCATGTCACTAGAAGGGAAAACAGCTGTCTTYAAAAGGGAATTGCCGGATTTTAAATTAATGTCTGCCTCATTGTGAAATGGTGTATTTTAACTTGTTGATGCTTGATGTAATGTTATAAAGCAGATTGCATAAACTTGTAGCTGGAATTTTTCATCATACTAAGGTTAGATTGCAGCTACAGAAAAAGTAGACCACAGGTCTCTATCTCACAAAAGAGAAAGGGACGTTCAATAAATTAACTAAGGGTTTTGACATCAAATAGCTTTCTATAGGAGCTGGAATACCCTGAGTACAGTTTGTAGACTGGTCTCTTGTGTGTGCCAGGTTCTGCATTGCAGAGAAAGGGAACAGTTGTGCAATGTTTCCTGGGCTCTGTCACTGACATGAGTGAKTTTTCTCACTGAGTGTTAACTTTTTTGTGGGGAGTGAGTAGCCTCTTGAAGGGTATCTGGATATTGATGTTTATCTGTAATATGAATTTTGTTTCATTAAAATGCAAGGTTGTGTTAAAGTTACGCTATGTGTTACTGTGTCACTGAAGCAGTTCTGGTGCTGACAGTAATGGGAAAAGCTTAGTTTAGCCCTCAAAAGTAATGTGTTTTTTATATTTGAATCAAACTGCCAAAGAATACTTCTCATACCTGAGCTTCCCTCAGTCCTCAAACTTCTGCATCTCTCAGCTAAAAAGATGTGTTTAATATTGGAGACAAATCTCAAGGCCTAGGATTTGTCTATAGAGGGTTGCTTAATAAAACTAAAATGATTAGTTCAGCTGCACTTGATTCAACTTTAAATCTCTTCTGATGGCTACTTTAATTGGGAATTAAGTGCTCCTCCTGGAATTAATGTAGTTGAACTAATCCACGTTATCACTTAGTTGGGGTTATTTTACTGTCCCTGTGTGGGCAATCTTCAGTGAGGCGTGCCAAAAGCACTGTGCATATCCACAACTTGATCTCTGAATGTACGTCCTTGCCCTTAGCACCTCTCCCCAGCTTGTTCTGTGTGAAGGTCTGTGGTATCGCTGTGACATGTCTGGGTACCTGTACATAATGTGTAAAATGAGTTTTTATGATTAGGGAATCGATTTATTGAACTTTATTATTGAAAGCTGAATCTGTAAAACAATAAATCAATAAAAGACTATAATCTTTCTACAGGCTATGGTGATAAATTAATACTTTTGGAGTGTGCTGGGGAGAAGTAGCCTGCTTCATATTGCTTCATTGCTCTGGGGATAGGGAGAACTTCAAATGTATTCTTTTGTGCTGTTCTTAAATTGCTTTGTATAGTGCAAGAACTGGGCAAATTTTTCATCTACCACTTCCAGCTTCTTAGATACTTTTTTGAAAGCTTTCCTAGTRAAGCATTTACTGTAAAAATATTTCTTTGATAGCTGTGGGAAGTTGCTAAACTTGTTCCTGGCTACTGAAAAGCTTGCTTTCTCTCCCTGCTSCTGAGTCAGTCCTGGGCAATGCTCTGTGCTAGGCTTCCTATCAGCCCTGCTGTGGAGCAGGGTGAGGTGAGGGTGTGGTGTGGAAGAAGCCTCTGCAATCTGAGTGCTGCCTGAACACTGAGCAGGAAAGGGCAAGCTTGTGTTCAGGTGGTTTTTGAAAGTGCGCTGGGAATTGAGCCAGCCTACAACAGAGGGCAGCAGTCTCCAGCTTGTGTTAGGAGCAGTGTTGCTGGCACATCAAGGGACATCCRAGGGAGGTGATCCTTTCCACTCCTCTGGTGAGATGTCTGGAGTGCTGGGTCCCGAGCTGGGCTTCCTGGGTACGAGAGAGACAGGGGCTTAGTGAACTTAGTCTACCAAAAGGCCATGGTTAGGGAGTGGAGCATCTGTAGTACAAGGGGAGGTGAGAGCTGGAGCTGCTTAACCTGGAGAAGGCTGAGGAGGGACCTTACCAACACCGAAATACATGGTGGAAGGGGGAATAAAAGCAGCCAGGCCCTTGATGGTGCTTAGTGGCAGGCTGAGAGGCAATGGGCTTAAGTAGAAATACAGGAGAATGTCAAACCATCAGAAAAACCTTTTCCTATGAGAGTGGTCAGACAGTGGGACAGGTTGTCCCTAGAGGCTGTGGAGTCTCCTTCAAAACTGGTATTAATGCATGGGGATGAGTGTAGGACTAGATCACCTCCAGAGATGCCTTCCAACCTCAGCTGGAGCTGGCTCTAGAACAGCATTGGGTGTGGTGCTGCTGGGCTTTCCTACCTCAGCTGGTTTTTAATAGCAGTGGAGGCTTGCTGCAATTAATTTGTCACTTCAGTAGCAATATTAGAACTATGTGTGGATAGAAAATTCATCTTCAATTGCACCAGTGTGAGAACTCCCATTCACAGTGACTGCTATTCATTAACAAATGATTCAAATCTGTATATATTTCCTCTTTTTTTCCTCTATCCAATGGTGCCTGGTAGTGGATCTAGTAAAGGAGCTAGATGAGATTCTGAAAGAGTTGTTTTACAGCAGGGAATTTGGGGACATGGACAATAATACAGCTGTTACAGAAAATAGGCCTACAAAGCAGTTCTTGAAATTATAGTGCTTTTTAGGACTTCTTGCATGAAMATGCACTAAGCAACTGTACAGCATAGCATGCTGCACTGAGTGAAGACTGGTAAGTGAGTGGAAGGTAAAGTAAAGGTCATTCTCAATAGAAGAAAGTATACTCCTACACACTTTCACATCTCTAAGTGCTTCCTAGAGTATTTCACAAAAATGACAAGAAAATATAAGCTGCTGGTTTGATTTCCTGTGTATTTCATGAATTCAGCTTTTATGTGAAATCATAACTGCCCTGAATAGTCCTGTATGTTTAAGACAATGACATCTTTTTGTACTGTTGAAATAATGTTTCACTATTATTCATGTTTATTCATTGGCAGTGAGAGATGGGTATGCCTATAAAATCAGAGGGGATGTGCAAACAGTTTTAGTCTTTGTTTGCTGATCCCAAGGTGCTGCTGCCTTGCAGGTGGGCTTTGTCCTGAATTACCAGCTGGACTGTCCTGCCCAGCCAGTGCTTGTGCAGGAGGAGCACTGGGGACACAGGGACAAATGCTCTACTTCATGCTGGCTTCCATGATGTCATTTTCTCTGGGGTTGCAGCCCCTCTGTCCTCTGCTTCATGGAATGACGTTCTCTTTGCTGCTCCCAAGCACTTAATGCAAGTGGGTGAGGAAGGGACGGGAGAAGAAGGCTGAGTTGTCACCTGTCCTATGCAAAACCTAACCACTGTTGCTGTGACGGTTACCATTTGTCCATTTTTCAGCCCACCATGGATGAGTAAACAACTCCTAGCTGTCTTCTATGAGTTAGGCTACTTTGATAGGCTTGAAGTGTTCAAGCAAATGAATCAAAGGCCAAGCTTTAAAGCCCACAACTTTTTTTCCTCAGATCTGCCAAATTAAAAGGAAGAGAGACTTGCAAGCCCTTCCTCTGCTCTATGTTTTTCTGTGTTAAATGATGTGAGACCTCCTTGAATTCCATTGAAAAGCTGCTGAGAGCTGTAGSATTATTCCCTAATTGCATCCAAAACAACTTTTTTGGATGATAAATAATACTATGTATTAAACAGAAGCACGCCTCAACCTAAACTTTGAAGTGCTTCACAAATTAATGTTTAATGAAACTGTTCGCCTGGAGGTTTTTGCTGTACTATGTAACTGGCTGAATACACACAAGCCAGGGCTCTTTCATCTCCCTGACAAGCGTTCCTACTTTAATATAGCATATTTTCTCCAACTGTGTGCAGTCAGTCAGTTCTCAGTTTTCTGCATACACCCCTGGCCTTCAAAAATACAACCTTGTCCCCCCAGAAAGCCCACGCATAGCAGGCGACGCTGGTGGATTGATCATATAGTAAACACCTTTGGGGGAATT